TCAGTGCCGTGTGACTAAGTGGATCAGAGTAAAGCAGTCTGGTGTTTGTAGCTCGGCTGGCTGCCACCCACGGCTGCAAAGCGGAGCTGGTCACATTTGTCAGCTTTTCTCACGTCTGCCTATGTTGTGTCTGTGACTGCTGCACCACAGAGCCCCAGACCTCCAGACAGAGCGCCGTAGAGGGAAGCTCAGCAGGTAGATGGAGCAGCGCGTCCAGGGGTCGCACACTTCTCCCGCTCTCTGCGTTCGGCTGCGCAGACGCCGTCTGCGTTTGCTCAGCTGCTCTCTGTAAATCACAGGCAGGGTCTGAAATCAGCTGTTTGTCACAAAGGTACTGCTGTCTGCGTCTGCCGATGGAGACGCAAAGATGGAGCTTTAGCCTCGTAAACGAAGCAGCCTGGCTGCGTCCAAAGAAGAGAATTGGAGGCTGATCTCAAATGAGAGGCACTCTGACAGCTAGCTGCTGTTGATTTATCCATCAAAGGTAACATTTAACAGGACTCGACACGTGGCTGCGGTTCGTTTCAGACCCTGTCTCCAGCCAGCCCTCCCCTCCCTCTTCATCCTCTCTGGTGTGTCATTAACGCCTCTTTCTTTTCATCTTTTTCTTTGTCTGTAACATTGAATCCTCTTTCTTCCTCCATCAATCTTCCATGAACCTTCGTGCTGCTGGAGAATCAATTTTGCATGTTCAGTGTTCAGCGAGCTCCTGGTTTGGAGCCAGATGTGTTACGAGCTGCGCAGCAGCTTCATTCCAAATGTAGGATGTTGGACGGACACTTTTGCTTCAACTTTGTGGGTTTTTGTAGTTTTCCTCAAGCTTGTTATTACTGAGAGAGCACATACTTGTATGTGTGGTGCATGAATCTGGTGTTGCAGGTTGTGGGCTGGTGCTAGTCTCCTTTACGTGTTGAGTGATGATGTCCTTCACAGCCAGCTCTTTGTTTTCTGCAGGAACAAACGGGCCTGCTCGCACTCGAGTCATTGTTCCGTCTGCAGACCTCAAACGCTCACCGTGTCCCCCCTCCCCCCTCCAGGTCAGCAGGTGATCGAAGAGCAGCGCCGCCGTCTGGCCGAGCTCAAGCAAAGAGCAGCAGCGGAGGCTCAGTGCCAGTGGGAGGCCCTCCACTGCTCCCAGCCCCACCTCGTAACCTCGACCTCCCCGTCTCCCTCCTACTCACCCATCATGGCCTACAGCCCCGTGCTGAGCCATACTTCCTTGGGCCCCCCTCCTCTGGTTCACCACTCCATCCTGCACCATCAGCCCCCGTCGGCCGGGGAGCAGCCGTACGACACCCTGAGCCTGGAGAGCTCGGACAGCATGGACACCAGCGTGTCCACCGGGAACAACTCGGCCTGCTCGCCTGACAACATGAGCGGGTATGACGCACACACAGTGGATTATGGGGTTCTATGTTAATGTTTGTGTGTAGCTGATGTGAACACACTCTGGGTTTGTTGGCCGTGGCCTGGTTCAGTGTTCAGACGCCAGCTCCTGACACACCAGCTGCACCATCACGTCTGATGTCAGAGTCGTTGGTGAACATGTTTCGGCTGGTTCCTCACATCTGTTCCACTGAACACAGCTGGCTCCAGATCTGTGCGATAATAAAAAGCATTCTTCATGCTTCTGGTTATTTTTTGAAATGAAAGTTATTGTTACAAAAATGTGAGCATATCCACGGCGTGGCTTTGTCAGCAGATGGCCCCGCCCCTCCCTGAGCCTGGTTCTGCTGGAGGTTTCTTCCTGTTAAAAGGGAGTTTTTCCTTCCTACTGTCGCCAAAGTGCTGCTCA